GCTGAGGCCACAGCTTGTGGCTTCTTCTCCTCCTCTGCGCACTGTGTGGGGCTACACTCCATAGCCCGGTGACGTGGGCTGTCAGCTGGGCATCCCGAAGGACGGCTATCCACGGCCTCCAGCCCCGGTGCGGCCGCTCCGTTTTCCACTGCTGTTCTGCCGGTTTTCCACAGACTGATTAAAGCACACTGTAACGCGGCTGTGCATTCATGCGGCTTTGGACCTCCGTGTTGTTATATTTGGAAGTCCGTCTCCTGTCCCCATATTTACCAGTGTACGAATCTGTGTGACCTTCCGCTGTTAAGAGTAGTCTACGGGTTTGAGTGTATTCCCTGCAATTCCCCAGGTGGCGTTGTCGGTTCATTTCCCTCTCCTCTCCATTTGGCCACACGTGCATAACGTTAATGTATGTATATCCGCTCCCAAATAATGCAGTGCATCTACGCAGGTGAATCCACCATGGTGGATGAATGATTCAGTTGAATTCGACTCCCAAGACAATCCTCAACTAGCTGTCAATTCGATTGCGACTGGCCAATAGGAACGTGGCCCCACCCATGACATTATTTTCACAGCGAAAGCAAAATCCTGACACGACAGCAAAGACTTAGGTTTTGAGAGAGAGAAGAAAAATGTTTTGAGAGGAACAATTTCTTTTTTTTAGAGAAAAGGTTTTCACACTGATAGCAAAAAAATAATATTTGAGAGTAAAAGTTTTTTGAGAGTTTTTTTATTTTCTTGGAAATCATTTTTTAAATCTCAAATTATTTTTTTATATTCTATGACAAAATACTTTCTCTCAAAACTTTTTTAGTCTCAAATATTATTATTTTTTGCTATCAGTGTGAAAACTTTTTCTCTCAAATATTTTTTTTTCTCTCATATCATTTATTTTCTTGCATGTAATAAAAACACAAATCTAACTCCATATTGACTGACCACATTTTTCAGAAATGTTGCGTAACCAATGTACACTGTGATGGGGAAATGTTAGAAACAAAAAAAAAGAATCAGCTGTGTGTTCAGGAACAAGGTAAGACAAGATTGGCAGCTTTTTGGTTTGAATGAATCTTTACTGAAAGACAGACAGACATCAACAAGTTAAACAAGGACTCTATAGGGCTGCTGCTGGCTGAGAAGAAGATTAGATATAAAATGGAAGGTCATATGTGCAATAGGTGAAAAACAACACGTGTACACAGTGGGTGAGAGGCTTACTCCAGCTTCCTTGTGCAGTACACACCTATAGTATATTAAGTGCATGACGCACACATAACCAGCATTACAACAACACTGTTGCGAGATAGCAGTCAAACAGCTGCGAGGGTGTGACAGCTGAGCTGCAAACATGTCAGTGAAACTGGAAGGCAACATTTTAGTGACTGGGACGAACAGAGGNCCTCAGCTGATGCAAAAGGCAGATTGTGTTGCTAAATGTCTTCCAATTCTTCTGCTTGTTGCTCAGAATTTCCAGCCTGTTTAACTGATCAAATAAATAAAGAGTTAATTTAGATAAAACTCCTTCTCTGACTTAGTTCAAACTAAAATGACTGCTCTTTCCGCTGCTGGCTTATTGTGAGGGGCTTCAGTCTGTCTGTCCTAAGTTAGACGGAAGGAAGCACTATTCTTTAGTTTCCGGTGGTATGGTAACTTCGTGTTTCTGCAGTTGTGGCTAACAACACATTTTCCACATCTTCTCAGAAGTGGCATCATCGCAGTTGTACTAATGCTCTCTGGGAGAATATCACACTTCACTCTGGATGGTGTACGGTTAATGTTATCTTGCACTGCTTGAATTATGGAGTTAGATTTGTGTCTTTATTACATGAGAGAAAATAAATGATATTAGAGAAAATAAATGATATGAGAGAAAAAAATATTTGAGAGAAAAAGTTTTCACACTGATAGCAAAAAATAATATTTGAGACAAAAGAAAGAAAAAAGTTGTGAGAGAAAGTATTTTGTCATAGAATATAAAAAAAAATAATTTGAGATTTAAAAAATGATTTCCGAGAAAAAAAAAAACTCTCAAAAAACTTTTACTCTCAAATATTATTTTTTTGCTATCCGTGTGAAAACATTTTCTCTAAAAAAAAAACGTTTCTCTCAAAACATTTTTCTTCTCTCTCTCAAAACCTAAGTCTTTGCTGTCGTGTCAGGATTTTGCTTTTGCTGTGAAAATAATGTCATGGGCGGGGCCACGTTCCTATTGGCCAGTCTCAATCGAATTGACAGCCGGGTGAGGATCGTCTTGGGAGTCAAATTTAACTGAATCATTCATCCACCATGGTGGATTCACTGGCATAGATGCGCTGCATTANGTGGGCTGTCAGCTGGGCATCCTGAAGGACGGCTATCCACGGCCTCCAGCCCCGGTGCGGCCGCTCCGTTTTCCACTGCTGTTCTGCCGGTTTTCCACAGACTGATTAAAGCACACTGTAACGCGGCTGTGCATTCATGCGGCTTTGGACCTCCGTGTTGTTATATTTGGAAGTCCGTCTCCTGTCCCCATATTTACCAGTGTACGAATCTGTGTGACCTTCCGCTGTTAAGAGTAGTCTACGGGTTTGAGTGTATTCCCTGCAATTCCCCAGGTGGCGTTGTCGGTTCATTTCCCTCTCCTCTCCATTTGGCCACACGTGCATAACGTTAATGTATGTATATCCGCTCCCAAATAACGCAGTGCATCTACGCAGGTGAATCCACCATGGTGGATGAATGATTCAGTTGAATTCGACTCCCAAGACAATCCTCAACTAGCTGTCAATTCGATTGCGACTGGCCAATAGGAACGTGGCCCCACCCATGACATTATTTTCACAGCGAAAGCAAAATCCTGACACGACAGCAAAGACTTAGGTTTTGAGAGAGAGAAGAAAAATGTTTTGAGAGGAACAATTTCTTTTTTTTAGAGAAAAGGTTTTCACACTGATAGCAAAAAAATAATATTTGAGAGTAAAAGTTTTTTGAGAGTTTTTTTATTTTCTTGGAAATCATTTTTTAAATCTCAAATTATTTTTTTATATTCTATGACAAAATACTTTCTCTCAAAACTTTTTTAGTCTCAAATATTATTATTTTTTGCTATCAGTGTGAAAACTTTTTCTCTCAAATATTTTTTTTTCTCTCATATCATTTATTTTCTTGCATGTAATAAAAACACAAATCTAACTCCATATTGACTGACCACATTTTTCAGAGATGTTGCGTAACCAATGTACACTGTGATGGGGAAATGTTAGAAACAAAAAAAAAGAATCAGCTGTGTGTTCAGGAACAAGGTAAGACAAGATTGGCAGCTTTTTGGTTTGAATGAATCTTCACTGAAAGACAGACAGACATCAACAAGTTAAACAAGGACTCTATAGGGCTGCTGCTGGCTGAGAAGAAGATTAGATATAAAATGGAAGGTCATATGTGCAATAGGTGAAAAACAACACGTGTACACAGTGGGTGAGAGGCTTACTCCAGCTTCCTTGTGCAGTACACACCTATAGTATATTAAGTGCATGACGCACACATAACCAGCATTACAACAACACTGTTGCGAGATAGCAGTCAAACAGCTGCGAGGGTGTGACAGCTGAGCTGCAAACATGTCAGTGAAACTGGAAGGCAACATTTTAGTGACTGGGACGAACAGAGGCATTGGTTTGGAGCTGGTCAGACAGCTGGCAGAGACGACGGGGGAGCAGGCTCACATCTATGCCTGCTGCAGAACACCTGAGGGACCCAGGGCTGAGGTGAGACAGACAAAATCCAAATTACTACTTATTGCACATTCTGTTTGAAGGCTATAATGCTTAATCTGAGTGACATATTCCTTTTATTTAAAGCTGGTGTTAGGGAAAACAAATTTAGGGCTGCAAAGATTCCAGTTTCTACAAGTTGTAATGTTTCAGCCACACCTGTGCTACCTGTTTTGGTACCGTCATGGAGAAAATTGTTTTTGCCTTCATAGCCTTCATATAACAAACTAAAAAGCATAATGTTTGTGTCAATACATCTGTTAGGACAGGGCCGGATGTGAATCTCAGCAATGTCCCTGTTGAGCAAGTTAAGGGACTAAACTTGTGGGAGTAAAATTGTATCATGGTCCAAGCATTTTAAAGGATGTTTGGGGGCTTACATAACTTATTACTAACTAATATAATCGGACACTTCTTATGAAACCAACAGCAGAATAAACTTGTTTATACAAGTTTATAAGAGAAGTTTAAGACAAGTTTATAAGTTTACAAGAGTGTCTGCTTCAGAGCAGACAACAGAGATGATTCACTAGCAAGGACCACACCACAACGATATGCAGTTTAGAGATTTAATAAGGATGTGATTGTCAGAAAATGGTTATGAATGGGGTGGTGATGAATGGGGGAGTGCAGATTGCAGGTGAATGAACGGGATGGAGATGACGTCATCGGAGGGTCGGACTGGGTGAGGTGTAGATGTGGGCGGAGAGACTCAGTGTGGGGGTTCCGTCTCGAGTTCTGATGAGCCCATGCTGTTTAGGAAGCCCCCAGAAGAGTCTGATTAAGTGAGGCTTAGTCTGTCGTGCGCTAGACGGAGATCATTGAGGTTATTGTGGATGTAGGTTTGATATGCTTGTGAGGACCAGCGCCCGAGGACCTGAATGACTTGGTCTGAAATACCTGATCTGGCGGCTGAGGAGGCGGCGCCGATGCGGAAGGAATGGCAAGAGTAATGATCAGATGAAATTCCGGAGAGACGGAGGATGTTATGGAAGTGTTTCTGGAACCAGAAACGGGTGGCCATCCTCCCTGTTTCAGTGAGGAAGAGGGGATCTTGTGGTGAAGCGCGGGCGGAATACCGGGCGTGGATGTATCTGGTCAGTGGCTCGTGAGGGCTGAGAAAGGAGTTGAGGCGGAAGATGTAGATGGGAAAGGTTACTCCTAACTGATCAGTTTTACTCCTGCGGAGCGTGAATATGAGCGAGTCTGAAGTGTGGGTGGTGATGTCGGATAGACTGGGATGACGGGAAGGATCGTAGACAGATGATGTTGGAGCGAATTCAGAGCACCTCAGGAATCCGAAGAAAGCGAGTAGAAACATTGATTCCAGTGTTAAGTCGACTGTGGGAGAGATGTAACCGGAGCGCAGAGTGCGTATGCAGCGGCTGAGCAGATCGGAGGTGAGAGGGAGGCGTCTGGCTGTCAGCGCTGGTTCGTGCTTTCGTAAGCCTTTGATTAGCATGGTGACGTGAGCGTGCGAGATTGATTGACAAGGGAGGCCGGTGGATAATTTATGAAATAAGTTGATACCAGCTAGATATGTTTGTATGCTGGAGGCCCGGATCTTTGTTACGGTATGACAGTGTGAGATGAAGTTGCATATGGACATGGCGTCCAGAGAGGGAAACGGTAGATGATAAGTGGCGTGGTAATTCTTGAAAGAATTCCAGCCGGTGAGGTAGGCAGATAGCGTGCTTGGTGCTAAACTGTTAAGGATGGTTTCTTGGGAGATGTGAGTGAGATTTGCCAGATGAGGATTTAGCTGAATATGGTTGCTGAAAACGGTGGGATTGGTGTGGGATGGACATCCGAGTCTGGAGCCAAGCATCTGAATTTCTGGAAAGAGAAGCGGGAGAGTGAGTCAGCGATGGCATTGTGGTGACCGGGAATGTGAGATGCGCGGAGGATGAATTGATACTGAGCGGAGATGAGAGTGAGTCTGCGGGTGAATGGCATGATGGCTGGGGAACGGGAACGGCCTTTATTGATTATATCTACTACTGCTGTGTTGTCAGAGTGAATATTAATGCATTTTTTTGACCATTCGTGCCCCCAGATTAGAGTGGCGATGATCACGGGGTACAGCTCGTACAGAGCAGACGAGGGAGAGCGTGACTCTGTGTCGAGGGACTCGAACTCGGAGGGCCAAGCGGCAGCAAACCACCTCCCCCCGTAATACCCGCCGAAACCCACGGAGGGAGCCGCGTCTGTGTAGAGTTGAATGTCCTCGGGATGGGTGATGAAGTCGTCATAGAAGAATGAGATGCCGTTCCAGGATGACAGAAATTGCTGCCACATGCGCATTTCTGTTTTACAAGTGTCGTCCAGAACCACGTGGTCGTGGAGAGAGGGAATGGATGCAGCTTTGGTCAGCAGTTGAGAAAGAAAAGATTTTGCCTGTGGAATTATGCGGATGGCATAATTGAGGTGCCCGAGGAGAGCGAGCAGCTGGCGTTTGGTGCACCTGTCTGTCAGAAGATAATTAGACAAGAGCAGCGAGATGCGCTGCACTTTCTCCAAGGGCAGTGAAGCCTGGAATGACATTGAGTCCAGAGTGATGCCCAGAAACTCGATGGATGTGCCAGGTCCTGAAGTTTTTTCTTCGGACAGAGGGACACCGAGGTCGGAAAATGCAGACGTAAGTGTAGTGAGACCGTGGCGAGGAGGTGAGGACGGGGGAGTCACGACAAGAAAATCGTCAAGGAGATGAAGGACGTAGGGGAGCCTGTAATTGTTGGAGAGGATCCAGCATAGAGCCTCGGATAAAGAGTCAAAGATTTTGGGACTGCTCTTGCAGCCGAAAGTGAGACGCACGGAGAAGTAGTAAGCCCCCTTCCAGCAGACACCGAAATAACACCAGAAGTCGGGGTGAATGGGCAAGACCTTGAATGCGCTAGTGATATCAGCCTTAGACAGCCATGCTCCGTGTCCCGCCAGACGAATCAGTGCCATGGCGTGGTCAATGGTGGCGTACTGCATGGAGAAATCCGGGCTAGGAATAAGGCTGTTGATGCTCGGGATGTCGGAGCCGTGTGGGGACGACAGATCAATGATCAGCCTCTTTTTCCCCGAGTATTTGCGTGTGGCGACACCGATGGGACTGATACGGAATACGGGGAAAGGAGGATGATCGAAAGGGCCTATCATAAATCCTTCCATGACTTCTTTTGCCAGTAATGTGTCAACAGTGTCGGGCTCCGTGAGAGCGGATTGAAGATTGTGACATGTGTGGGAAGAATCAGGAAGCACCTCCGTGCCGGGGTGAAAACCGTGAGTGAAGCCAGAGATGAGAAAATCGACAAACTGCTTATCAGGGTGGTCACTGAGAGCAGCAGCGAGTGCACGTACCTTTATGGGCGTGCCGAGGTGACGTTCTAGTCATGCTGCTGTGTTGGTGGGATTGTGGGGGCAGGTGGTCCTGGCGTGAGCGCCCCCGCAGAAGGAGCAGACGTGCAGGAGACGGCAGCCGGACGAGTTGCAACCCCACTGATTGAAATTATTGCACACCATCCTGCCGCCCTGATAGAGGATCGGCCGTCCTCGCTTGTCGACGCCCTTTGGCACCGGCACGTTGACAGTGGGACGTGCGTCCTTGGCTCTGGGGATGACAGGAGGGGGGGGTGCAGCGGAAGACAGACGGTCGAAGATCGGGGCATTGCGTGGAGTGGTGGGGCGGGAGTGCGGTGGAGGAGCCATGATAGTGCATGCAGAGGCCGGATGAGAAGGGGCGCCACATAAGTCGCAGGAGAGGGAGGAACGAGCTGCGAAAATGCGGCAGTATATTTCTGAATCGAGGGCCCCCCAGTATGTCCCCTGGTTTAGCTGCTGCAACCGGCCGGCTGCTTGTGCGGCAAATTGGACATGGTAGGTATAAAATCCCGTCCCCCCGAAACGCAAAGCCATGTCCAACACGATGGACAGATAGTCGTCCAGCTCTGATCGACGGTGAGGAAAAGCAGAGCAGATGACGTCGCGAAATAGGGAGAAAGCTAGAGCAAACTCGACAGGAGTCAAGTCTTTGGACCTGGTTGGCAGTGACTGCTTTAACAGAACTGGACCGAGGACGGTCTGCAGTTCCCTGGGTTGACAACTGTCAAAAAAAGATGGCTGAATGAGCTGGGCTAGGTCTACATAATTACCGGACAGTATTTGCTGGCGCAGTGAGTGCGAGACGGGTGAGGGGCGGTGAATGGCAGAGGCTGGCAGAGCTGGTGGTGTGGCTGTGGCTAGAGTGTAGACGGCAGCAGAGGAAAAAACATTAGGGTGTTGGGGAAGGGAGGGGGTAGGGGGGGGGTAAGGAGAGACACGTCGGAAAGAGAGTGGAAGGCAGTGAAACACCCGCCGAAGGAGCCTGTTGTGCTGCAGGACGGGGCTCCTGGGCTGCGATGCCAGCCGGAACGGAATAGTTGGAAGGAAGGGTAGAGGAAAGGGATGTGGGGATGGAGGATGTGTGTGCACGGGGTGAGAGTGGAGGCCTGCGAGACAGGGAGGAGAAGAAGGCAGATATTGCGCGTGACATATCTGCGTCTGAGGGAGCAGGCACAGGGGGTGACACGACCTGACCCCCGGCTGGGGGAATGAATGAGAGAGGCTGCTCCGGCTGGAGTGGTGGAGGCGCCGTGACGTCACCGACGGTGACGCTGGCGGGAGTAGGCCTCGGAGGGCGACCCGGAAGTGCGGCCGGCTTGGGAGAAGGAGCTGTGGCCTCGGGAGCCCGGACGGCGGCTGAATAGAGCTGGAACAGCCTGGACTTGTTGTCGCTGCGGTGGAAGGGGATGTTTTTTGCCCTCAGGAACCGCTGGAGCCGGGCGATGGTCCAATCTCTGATGTCGGGCTCTTGCTGTGGACGTGGACATGGTGGAGATGGCCGAGTGGAGCGTGACGGAGCGCCGCGGGAGCGGCGAGGTCGACTAGACGCTGCACCGCTTCGGGAAGGAGGAGGAGAAGACCGCCGCTGGCTCCCACGGTTGTGGACGCGGCGTCGATTTCCCACCCGCGAGGACGGAGAAGAGGAGGCCTGAGATCCACGAGGAGTTGGGGCGATCTCGTTGATGGAGCCCGACGGAGAACCACGGCGAGACGGAGGGATGTGGACCACAGAGCGCAGCCGGCTCCCCTGGGAGTTTCGGCTACCGGCAGACTGCTGAGACAGGGTCAGAGGATCACCTGGCTCGAGCAGAGAGTCGTACAAGTCGTCGGAGTCAGACTCGGACAGGTTGACTTGCAACACGTGATCCATCGGTGAGTACGCACAAAAACACACTTGCTGAGATAACCTACGTAGGGTCGCCAATGTTCGAGAGATCTGAGAGGACTGTGGTAGAGCTGTGCTGGTATATATATATGTTAGTCAGGTGATTAGAGGAGTGGTTGAGGCGTGGTCCTGCTCCTGAACCTAGGTTAAACAATTAACTCCATATAATATTACAATATCAACTCTAAAGTGACTACATGCACACATACAATGGTGGTTGCTAGGCAACACAGTTGTTTGAGCAATTTGTTTGTGAAAACACATTTTATGGCACTTTATGTCAAAGTGAAATTACTGTATTTAATGTCTCATGCATCACTGTATATGTAGTCCCCAAAAAGCAGCCCGCAAAGATTCCACTTTCTACAAATTCTAATGAAGTATCTGCATTCTTCAAATCAGAGTGTTATTGTTGTGGTACAATCGTGGAGAAAATAGTTTTAGAACAAATGTTAGCCTTCATATAACAAACTAAAATCATGGTGTTTGTGTACATCTGTTAAGGGCAGGGCCAAATGTCAATCTAAGGGGTGCCTCTTGTGCAAGTTAAGGGACTAAACTTGTGGGTGTAGAAGTGGAAAGTATTTTGGTCCAAGCATATTGACTGGAGGTGGGGGGGGGGGGGGGGGGCTTCCTGTATGGTGGCCCTGAGGGTCAAAACACAACATTTTGGAAAAACACAAAGACATTTGAAAAAAACACAAACATTTTGGAAAACAGAACATTTCCATAAAAACTAAAACATTTCACAAAACACTACAACATTTCAGAAACCCCAACAACATTTCACAAAAGACAAAAACAAGTTGTGAAATGGTGTAGTTTTTTCTGAAATGTGGTCTGGGGAAAAATAAGAAAATACAGGCTGAGGACAGATTTTTCTGCAGAACAACATCATCATACACTTATAGAGGGTCATAAGTGATGGTTGATAGCATGGACTGTATTTAAAGATGGATGACATGACAGCTCCCCAGAAGGGAAGCTGAAACATCTCAATGGCCCCCTGCTGCAGTATAGGTCATAAAGCCAGTCCTCTCCATGTTAGTAGATGGAACACGAGCCAAACTGAAAGTACACGTCAAATAGAAATAAAATAAATATAAACACAAATTTTTCCCAAAGATGGTTTCTTTCATTTAAGCTAGTTTTTATCACGCAGTTGTTTCTTCTAGTGTTCGCTTTACTTCTAAGTTTGACAAAGTTGACAACTGTGTGAGCCAATTGGTGGGCTAGCATTCAGTGGTGCTGCTCGTGATTCGTGAGTCGGTCAGATCAAGCTGACAGCCGCTGTACCTGGGTTTTGTTTGCTTCACTTCTGTACAGTTGGGGATGTGTCGTCGTCCATCTTTATAAATAGTCCATGACTGAGAGGGATTACTTCTGTATAAGTCTATATTGTTTTTTTGGGGGGAAATCTTGCATAGTATACCTTTTAAAGGAGCTATATGTAAGAAATATAAAGCAAATAGTCATAAAATCCTCCTAATATGTCACAGAGACTAAGTAATAATGTCCATATAACATACTGATCTCACCGACAACAATAGTACAGCCAGAATATTTGCATTTAAAAAAATATTTTACGGTCCTCAAATCATGTTTATGTTTTGAATTTGTGTTTTGGCCTGTTGCACCACCCACTGCCGTCTACCAGTCACGCAGTCAGTAGAGTCTCAGCAAATGTTACAGTTACGACTGAGCTACAGCAGCACGGCAAGCAGCATTAGCAGTGTCCCGGTACATAACATTAGCAGCCGGCTCCTTCGCTGTATCCCGGCAGCAGCGTTAGCAGCAGAGAAGCCGGACTTGCTCGAATGGTCCGCTGGAAAACCGAAGATCAAGGATGCCGCGACGCAGCCCTGCTGCGGCAGCCGTCCGTGGGCAAACAAATTAGTCTCCAGCATGCCGCTGTCCAGCAACCTCGAATCTGGAGGGGAGGGGGGGCGGACACGACTCGCAGCAGTATTTTGAATTTGAGTGCAGTAACCGTTTTGGCCACATTCTTACATGCAGCGCCTTTAAGCCACATACTTTAAATAACCTTATACATTTTAGAGACAGCAGAATAAATATTACCAAAGTAGACAATATAGGCATGTTTAATATGACATTAAAAAAATCTAAAGCGACTACAGCCACAAACACACATATTTAAAGCAAAACAAAAGCTACACAGTTTTTACACACCCAATTGTGCACACATACAATGGTGTTTGCTAGGCAACGCAGTTGCTGACAATTGTTGCACTCACCTGCCTAAATCATAGAAGCATTTTGCGAGTCTTAAGCCCCACAAAGACCTTCAAAATTTGATTGTTTATTCTCAAAACGAAACCAGTCCATCCAGCATCTCTGTCCCCCTATAACCGGTCCACCCAGCCTCTCTGTCCCACTATAACCAGTCCACTCAGCCTCTCTGTCCCCCTATAACCGGTCCACTCAGCCTCTCTGTCCCACTATAACCAGTCCACTCAGCCTCTCTGTCCCACTATAACCAGTCCACTCAGCCTCTCTGTCCCCCTATAACCGGTCCACTCAGCCTCTCTGTCCCACTATAACCAGTCCACTCAGCCTCTCTGTCCCCCTATAACCGGTCCACCCAGCCTCTCTGTCCCACTATAGCCAGTCCACCAAGCCTCTCTATCCCTCTATAACCAGTCCACTCAGCCTCTCTGTCCCTCTATAGCTAGTCCACCCAGCCTCTCTGTCCCACTATAACCAGTCCACTCAGCCTCTCTGTTCCACTGTGCTCCTCAGATTCAAAATCATTTTGACCTGAATGAGTCACATTAAGGATTATTGTCACAAACAGCAGAAATGCCTCCATGCTGGAGGATCCACCATGAGCATTTTTTAGCATGTAGCATGTTAGCCAGACCTAACATGCATCTGTTAGTAATGCAGTATCCTAAGCAGCCTAGTCTCACATAAGTATGTGAAATGACCACAACCTCTTAACACCACATTACGTGGTGTTAGCACATAATGGGCTCTAGTTTCCCGGCGCAGCACAGGTGGTGCAGGGTGGCGAACCCAGTGCAGAGCTAGTTTCGAGCAGCGCAACCCGAGGCGCGCTCAGTTTGGTAGTTTGGCAGACCCAGGTGCACTGAGATGGGTGTGGCGGCGCAGCAGGGGGAGGTGCCCACAGATCCAGCTTGGCGCAGTGACAGTTTCGTGCCAAAAGGCTTCACCTAAAGTGCGCTAAAAGCTCGCCAGCTGAAACCAGGTCTACTGTCAGCGCAGGGGGAGCGCAGCCGGTGTAAGCCAAAGTTTGGCTGACTGGCGGACAGTGCGCACACGTCACCAAAACCTCACTGGCAGGTTTCCAGAATATCAGGCACATTAATGATGCAATAAATACCCAAAAAAACACTATTCAATGCAACTATCTGCAATCAGCACATAAATGTATCTCTATATCGACTGTCCCGTCACATCTGATGTCAGATCAAAGGGGATTGGCACCATTTGGCACGTTTGGCACGCGTAATGGAAACCCAACCTGATTTGATTAACACAGCTGCAAACTAATGAGTTCACATCCCTCTCAGCCAACCACAAACAGCCACAGCATCAGATAGGGAGTATATATTCAGCATCTGTCATCTTAGAAAAGTCAAAAGAAAAGAAACAGAGTGAGACTGTGAGAGAGAAAGAGAGAGAGCGCCTGCGCGCACGAGAGAAACGCAACATTGATTTACAATTGTGGTGACCTCCTCCCAGGCTACCTTTGCACCATCAGCCCGTGGAGGTCTGCTCGCAGTTCCATATATNGAGCTTGGACCTCCCGGACCAAAACATAAGTTTCCTCCTGGGAGAAGTTTGGCCGTCTGACGCTGCTGCTCTCTTCTGCCATGGCGAATTGAGTAAACTCTCATTACGCCTTCACGCGGCGCATTTAAGGGCGAGGAGAGGGGCTCATTTGATTGGTGTGATGTGTGTAAAACCCACTCCACGCCTTCTCTCCTCCCTCTTTCCGACTTGCGCCGGTAGGAGGGCAGGAGGTGGGATAGAGGAGTAGCTGCGCCAGTCACACGGTGTGCCAAACTTACAAAATCTGCCTGGCCACACCAAGTTGGTGAAGCGCAGGTGCGCTGCGCCCCCACTGCGCCCTGTCTGCTAAACTAGAGCTCAATGTGTTAAAATTGTGGTGGACACACAAATTCCTTAGACAATGTCATGCAATAGGTAGTGTAAAGAGAGAGAAAAAATCAGTGTTGGGAGGAGACTTTCACCCAGGAGACCACTATTTGTGAAACACTCCACAACTTACCTATAAAAAATTTCCACTCCAACAACTCTGAAGCTATCTCAAATTATTATACATATTCTTTCCGTAGTATGTGTATATGTGAACACATACTATATTAAATATGATCAGTCATGTGGTTTGTATTCTGTAAAACCATATGTTTATTGCCTGCAGCTCAACATCATTGCTTGCATTAGATGAGCATAATTTAAGAAATGTAAAAAAATTTTTGTAATGTAATGTAAAAAATGTTTTTTTTGTGTTTTTACTGTCATGCACCAAATCATTGTAAATGTTGTGTATGGACTACTTACTCTCTCTCTGTCTATCCATTCTTCCCTTGTTGTCTATCTTCATTATCCATGTCTCCCTCTTTATATCTGCTCCCCTCAGGCCCTGAGAGACCTCCCCACTCAATATCCTGGAAAGATCACTATCATCAAACTAGGTAAACACAACACATCCTCATACATCTCTGTAGATACTTTTATATACATTTACAGGATTCAGATACTACAAAGGTATCATTAAGAGAGAAAAAAATTAGCGATCTCGATTACATAATTTGACTGCACGGATTACTGACTGAATGAGTTTCTTCCATGTAATTTCAGTGTAACTTTAGCTGCTGTTACCAAAGGGGACAGATCCTGTGAATTTCTATTTCCACAGACCACTTACTGAATGGTGACATTCATGTATTAACAACTTTTCAACATCTGGCTGTCCAGACAGCATGTTCTACAATGTCAGCATGAAGAACTGTGTGTCCAGTTCTCAGCAGCAGGTCTTCTGAATAGCTGATCCTGCGTTTACCCAGCATATCAGTCCATCCACCCTCTGTACACTACAGCCTTTGTAACTGCATGACATAACAACCCAGCACTGAGCCTCATGCAAGTACATTTACCAAACTCTCTTTACTGCTCAAACTTGTTGTAAATCACTTGTTTCATCTTTATGACTTCCACCTGTTCATGCACATTTGTGAGATTTCATCATTAGCATAATCACTTAGCATTAAATTGCATTATAAGGCTACATTTGTGGGCAGGTTCCATTCACAATAATGTTACCAAATAATAAAAGAAGAACCTCACCCTATAGAGCAGCTGCAGGAAATCTGTAAACAAGTCCAGCAGTGTCTGCAGTGGCATTATTAACATTTTATAGATCAGCTGATAATGAACGATGTGTCATCAGAGCGGCGCTGTGCTGTGACAGAAATAAAAGTAAATTGTTCTACATGAAATTAGACGGTAAAAACATCTCTCCCAAGCAAAGCAGGTCATTATATGGCAGGTGGACCGTAGGGTATGACAGTCACAGAGATATTAGACAAGAGAATATCACAGCCTACACTCGGTGATGTTACACTAGTTCAGGGGTAGGCAACCTGCGGCTCCAGAACCACATGTGGCTCTTTATCCTCTCTACAGTGTCTCCCTATGGGTTTGTCAGAAAAGGAAATAAATAGCTGTTATATTTTTAACATTGCTCTAGGTGATGATTTTGCATGATCCAATAAAAATGTGTAGCCTTTACACTAAAAAACCAAAATGTGTGGTATACATCTACAGCCTTGCACTTTATCCTCTAAATTTTGCCATACCTCAATGGTGGTGGTTCATTTTGAGCCTCTCTAGCTAGGCTAAGTATGGATTCCAAATTTAAAAAAGGAATACAGAGAGTTTAAATTTTGTGGACAAATTTGTTTGCTCTCACCACCAAGACTGCAAAATTCAAGTAGCAAATATTCATGAATAGCCCACTGCAGAGGAGCCACCCTGTGGTAAAAGATATTAATGAATGCTCATTTTGAGCCATTAGTAGTGTCAATAGGCTAATTTGGATACCTTCATTATAAGGCTCAAATATGCTTTGTGGTTCCATACGTAAGTCAAAAATGTGAATCTGAGCTTTAGTGCAAGCTCAGGGAATAAGCACACATGATCCAACCAACCTCCATTGGCAATGTTTCCGACCAGAAAAACAAGTGCAACGCTGCAGTAGTACAGAGGTCAGGTGGGTGATAGCTGGCTGAAGTATTAGCCATTGATTCTGATGTACAAAGATCACATCCTGTCCCATACCAGTAGTCAGCCAGCAGTCTCTTTTTCTCTGTTCAGTTTTCATGCTTGTATATTTTTGCCTGTGGAGTTGCTCTGGCTGCTCTGATGTACAGTATGTTAGTGTCTAGGTTTGCTTAACGTTGTATGTTCTAAAAGGGGTTTAAATTATTGTAATGGGATAAGCCTTTATTGATACCCAGAGGGGCACAAGGACAGAAATAAGTACAGATAATCAGAAAGTCCAACATGATTTTTTAAAAATAAAAAATAGAAATGTACACTGTACAATAGCAATTTGAGTCAAAATAACATGGCAAGAGCTGTAGATACAAATGTCTTTGGTTGATCAATAACTGATTAATGCAAAAACCACTGAGCAGAATAGAGCATAATGTCATCATATAGAGTGAGTATTCACCCCCAGCACTGATTTTTTTCTGTAAAGGAATTCATATTCCTATATCGGACAATGTTCTACTAAGCATGTTTCCATTCCCATTCAGCCTCTCCTTAATATATCATTTAACCATGACCACCATTTTTCTTTCTCAAACAAGTCGATTTAGGTGCCTAATCACTACCATACCTTCATCATAATGTAGTCATTCACCACAGATATTAAAAACATTCTCAGCTGAAAATCACTGGCAGATTGTCACTTTTACATTTACTTTAATCCAAAGCAACTTACAATAAGTGTATTCAATCACGTGGGCACAAACGACACTGACATATCGTTGTTATGTCAACATGTTACCCACAAGTAATAATGCACAATAAGGTACCTCAGAAGATGATATCTCAGCTACAGCTGCATATCTACATAGGAAGTGCATCCTCCCTATCACCATGTTGCACCACCAAGTTTTTACAGTAGCCCAGAATGGACAAACCAAACACTGGCTTAGCAGCCCTCCCACAACAAGCAGCATTGGAACAAACAGGATTTTTCTAATGTCAGACTGCTTTATTCAGTGTTTTTACCAATTTTCATCACCATGTCTGCTTGTTTAAACCTCCAGAATAATGAACACTAAAGGAATTCTAACTCAAGAGTTGGCATGGCACATGGTAGAAGATTTAGCTGTGTGAAATCTGCAATATTCACTGTGAAATGCCATTCAATCCTACACACTGTTACTTTAAATTGATGTCAGTTATGGTCCCCTAACTGATTTAATCTACAAAGTGTTTTAAGTAAACCTACAAAACATTTTCATGTTCATATTAAAGATAAGCACATTTTGATACCATTGATATGTAGATCTATTTGTTCGTCTACATGTTGGCAAGTGATGTGTGCCTTCACATTTGAGCATAAACATGTCTTTCTGCAGACATGTCAGATGAGGACAGTATCTCAGCTGCTGTCCAGGCTGTAAGAAAGCAGATTGGGGCCGGTGGCTTGAACCTCCTCATCAACAATGCTGCTATAACCAAACCGGCCATACCGGCACCGTTATCTGCCACCGGGAAAAAGGACATGATGGAGGTGTACGAAACCAATGTGGTTGGACCATTTCTCATTGCAAAGGTTGGTTTGTCTTTATTTTCTGTGTTTAAAGTGCGCGCACTCACACACACACACACAGGTGCAGTCGGCGCATAGGCAGAAACCGATATCACCATGTTGTGATCATGAAGAGCAGAAGCTGCTACATTCCTTGCAATATCTGACCACAAGACTGACTGTTACATAAGGAAAGCACCTATTCACATGTCCAGTGTTGGCAATGCTCTTGTATCTACATCACTGCTGAGCTGTCACTGTTCACATAGTAACACTATAGTACAGTAGTGTCAAACATACAACATGCGGGCTGGAATCGGCCCGCCAGAGGATCTCCTCTGGCCCTTCGGATGACTGCATGAAAGACATGACTGTACCTATGATATTCTTGCCCGCCAATATTTTCAGCCATCCATATTCAATCTTATTATTTTTATCAGTTGATGCTTGCTGTACTAGTTAGTGGTCATAATAATCAAAATGCCATCTACTTCCTGAAGTCCACTGGAAAATACAGCTGGTCTCAAGAAATGTAACAGCAACTAATGGCTGAAACTATAAACCAGCACAAAAATGACAATTACCAACATGATGATGTCACAGTGAAGCTGACCTTTGACCTTTTGGATATGTTGGATAATGTTATCACTTCATCATTTTATCCAAATTGTGTGAAATATTTGTTATAATTAGCATACAAATTCTTGAGTTAAGGCCAAAAAACATTGTGAGGTCAGAGTGATTTTGACCTTTGAAGTTGCACAACCAAATTCCCTTGCACCCAAACAGATGTTTGTGCCAAATTTGAAGAAATTCCTCAATGTGTTCTTGAGATATTGCATTCACAAGAATAGGACAGATTGACAACCTGAAAACATAATGCCTCTGGCCGCAGCTGTTGCCGGCACAGAGACATAAAAAAAACAAAAAACACAAACAGGAACAGATGGTGGTCAGCTAAGCACATCCAACCAGCTACACCTGAACACTGATTTAATAAAAGGAATGAGAAATTTACCCAAAATATTAAATAAGAACATGTGTGCATCATGAAAAGGTTGATACATATGGTATGTAAATTCAGATGTAATTACTGTGATACAAGTATTTGTATCAGTTACAGCATGAAATGCATTTATTGTGCAGAAATACACAGCACATCCCCTCTCTCTCTTCAGATGTTCCTTCCACTCCTCAAGAGAGCAGCAGAGATGGACTCACCTGAAAAGGACCAGGGTAATGAAGTAGAAACAGCTTTAATCACTGTAACTTATACACAAACACACATGCATGTAAAAACATGAGCAATTATTTATATCACGTTTCAAATTACCAGTATTACATTGGAGTTGGTATTATTATTATCCTGTGTCATGATGCAAGTCTCTTTGTCTCTGTCTCAGATGATAAAATGTCCTGTATGAGGTCGGCCATCATCAACATCTCCACGATTATCTCATCCATAGAGAAAGTGCCAGAAACCTTTTCTAAAGCACAGATGTACCCTTATAGGGCCAGCAAGGTACCACTGAATTACACACAGTTTACACAATTTGCTATTTAATATACACCATAGAGCATTTTAAAATAATGGCACTTTTTAATCTGAAAGAATCATTACTGGAAGACTTAACTCTTTAATTTGGTTTCATGAGATCATACCAAAACAGATGCCCCAAAAAGCATGTTCCTTTATTACCATGAACACACGCACTGCGTTCATGGTAATAAAGGAACAAAGGAACAGGGCGCCCAGTGCAGCAGTGTGGCTTATTGATGTGGCTTAATACCAATGGAGTTCTATGGCACAAAGAAGATATATTAAGTTGTGATACACACAAAATACTTGTCAGTAGATACATTCACTGTTGATTTGACTCTACTTTTTTATAAATACTGTATGATATCTTGAGTTATGGCCAAAAACATGTTTGGTGAAATCACAGTGACCTTGATCTTTGACCTTCAACCACTAAATAATCAGTTCATCACTAAATCCAAGTGGATGTTTGTGCCAAATTTCAAGAAATTTCCTGAATTTGTTCTTGGGAAAAGAAGAAAGAAATGAATATCATCTGTCAGATCATATAATTTTGATGTAGGGGGAGTTCAGGACAAGGGAGGGACCCAAATGCAGAAAGTGAAGGCAGAAAGGAAAGGCCTTCAAGAGAAAAAAAGCTGGTATATGCACTGCAGGGCTGATGAGGAAAAGTGGAAACATTTGAGCAGGTGGGCAGGAAGGGTCAGGTTAAGCAAAGGGAGAGAGGTTACTGCAGGAAAGAGTGGCTGGATCTGATGGGAAGTCTGAGGGCATATGGTAAAAGGAAGGGAAGTGAGAGTGTGGCTGAAGGGAGGGAATGAAGACTGACACAGACTTTCAGTTTCAGGATGTCAAATACCAACGTCAGTTTCACATAGAAAGCTGATGACGGATGATGCTTTATTGGTTTTAAGTTGTGTTGACAAGTAACCAAACATCTTAGCTAATGTCATCTTGATGTAGCATACTGACATTTAGGTGTACAGTAAGGAGCACAAAACCTAACGTCTACAAATCTTCATAAGTCATATATAATATTGTTAACCTGATTTTCATTCCAGCCAAAATTGAACATCTCCCCGACACAAAGGTCAAAAGTTTTCTGATGTCTTATTATATATAATAATATGACATAATATGACATTATATAATACATTATTTTGTCACCTTGGAATTATAAGTTTCTCTCAGACATTTCTGTCAAAATTGAGTTATTCATACATTCCTATTATATTCTGTGACAAGTTATTAAACTTCTTTAAAGTTATATGCATTTTTGGAATTTTTATTTAGAAAACAAAAAGGTTCTATCTCCGAAATCAAACTCTAACTTGGTTCTACAAGGTTCTATCTGTGAGCCAATCAGCACTGAGAAAGCACACAAGACAACCAATCAGGTTCCAATTCTTTGTTATGTGTCAGTGCTGATATAAATCAAAGCCCTACCCACCAGCCTCCACTGGTTAGCTAGCCTTGTGCTCTGCACTGTGCACCAGCTATGTCTGGTGGGATTTAGCTCACAGCTGCTCATTCAGTGATTCCTGCTAGTAATGCTGTCCCACACCCAACAGTGTTGCTGTAGAAACATCATGACCTCCCATTGTCTCCCCTCAGGTAAACGTGGTGAGTAAGCAGCTTCATTTTGAGCAGCAAACACCCTTAGCTCTGTTACTACTGTTAACTCTGTTAGCACCGTTGGAAGTGCAGCACAGCTAGTGGTGCTAACATTTAAAAAATCCTACAGAAGTTTTTCAGCTCCAAATCAGCTGCTTACTCAGTAAGGCCCCGTTCAGATGTAGCGTCTAAAAACGTGTGGAAAACGGCAGCTGTGCTGTTTCCATCCTTTTATCCAAGGCGCTTTGGAGGTTGCGCTACTGTCGCGCCTGCCGTTACTAAGCAACCAAAAACCCCTGTCACTCACAGGGGGAGTAAAAAAGTTACAAAGTTTTTCCAGCAAGCATCAGGAGGTGAGGTGTGTGCATGTGTGTGTGTGGAGGAGAGGGAGAGAGGGAGATGCTGGTAGAGAGATAGTGTGTGTTATTAGATACATAATGTTGTGAAGTCCGTTGGACGGAAAGGAAGAAGCAGGTCCGTGGAGCTGATTGGTTAATTCTTATCACATGACATGTAGTGTGCTTGCTGCATTTGAAAAAGTTGAATTTTTTCCATCTCTGTGCGCTGCGGACGTGCACGAAAAAACAGGTGCGTCGCACCGAATGTGCGCCTCTACGGCATTGCTTTGGGTTGTTAGCACGCTTGACGCGCATCTACATTGAAACTAATGGATTTGTGTGCGCAAAAGACGCTACATTTGAACGGCCCCTAAGGCTACCTGTAGGGATAGCAGGGGTGGCCATGATGTTTCCGCAGCTATGTCATGCCGCCACAGGGTTACCAGCGATAATTGTGAATGATTGCTGCCACTAGCTAGCCCCCTTAGCCTGAATGATATGCAGCACAGAGCATCCAAGGCTAGCTAACCAGTGGAGACTGGAGGGTGGCCAGTATGTTTCTACATGTTAAAGGAGCTGTCCGTCTGACAGCAAAGCCACCATAGAATGAAATTAAAGGCAATACATTTATGGTACCTCACAAAACATTCTCTATCCAGCTCTAAATGGAAACAGCTTTTAAAAGCAGTACCCAAGTCAATGGAGCACCAGACCAAAAGGAGAGGCCTCTTGTGTTTTGTGTCATTCTGCTTTTTTTTCTTCGTAAAAATTAACAAAATTAATTGAATCTGACATCCCTTGTACAGACACTATGGAGAATACTCTTATACTTTACCTGTCCCACTGTCTGTGCAGTACAGTCCTGGTTAGATGTATTACACTAACAGCTTGCTGTCTAGCTGAAAGAAAACCTAAAACAATGGTTTCTGGAATAATGTGTTTTATAACCAACCATATTCCTACCTAAAATTGACCTCTACACTGAAAAAAAATCACTGGCATTTACCTAACCTGCAATGCTTATTTGAATCAGGAAGACTTGTCCCACAACAGGAAATAAGTGTAAAAATATCATAGAAAGCATTAAATGAAACTGTCTCATACATGTAGACACTCTGTTACAACAAAAATTTATGTTTTAAAATAAATTATAAATAAACTGTTTGTATTCCTTGAAAAAGATTGTGTCTTTTCGTGATTTGCAAGATATAACCTTATAAGTCCAAGCAGAAAGTGAGTTCATAGGATTAGAAGGTTCTATCTACATTTAACTCCTCCCTTTACAAGACCAGTTCTTGTTATAACCTGAAATACCTTGTTATGTGTTGTATTATTGCAAGAAAGTTTTCATGTTATTACCTGATACTGATCACTTTTTTGAGGTGTGGCAGCAAGATGCTTCCATATATTTGCAAGCAAAGCACCAAAAGTGTTTTTAGGATCAAAATCTTTACCTACATCATTTGCAGTGTTTCCCGCTGTTTTTTTCCCCCACAAAATTAATAATGAGAAGAAAACACATTTTTTTAATGTAGCACTGAATTAGAAAAACATTAGCTAATACAATAAAAACATTTCAAAACATTTTACAGGAGTCATCTAAAAATAGCAAGGGTCATTAAAAAATAGCAAATACAGGATTAATGAGGTTGCTGTATGAAGAAGTTTTCCTACTGGGGCTTTTATTTAGGTGAGACTTTGGAAAAAAAAAAACAATTAGTTTTGACCTGTGGACACAGTTCCTTCTGTGCCGCTTTACAGCATCCAGTTTTATTCATGCCGACAGACTTAGACAGACATACACAGTAATGTTACACAGCATTGTCAGGCCCAATATGGCACATGCTCTGGGTGTGAAGGGCAAGATTGTTAGTTAGTTAGAATGTCTAGAATGTGCATGCTCCACCCACACAGGTTTTTTCTCTTGTCACATGCTGTGCTAACTGACATCTCCCTGACTCTTAGTTTTGTTGCACCTGTTGGGGTGGGACGGGACAACTTGTTTTTACAAGAGCACAGAGTCCAGTGACCTTGCATAACATCCAACCTGGGCAGAGATTTACTGAGCCAGAATAAGTAAATACTCTGATGTGTGTTTAGAGCCTTTAAAATTGTAGGTGTTATGTGGAGCGTCTGTAAGGGTGTTTACGATGAGTTGTATGTGACTACATAGATGATCCTCCTAAAATGTCCTTTTGCAGGAAATGCTCTCTCCTGGGTCTGTTACTGCTCTCCATCTGTAAACTCTGTTTGGAGCATTTTCTCCACACACACACAGCTTTGATTAGTATGCTGATGGCACTCAGGTATGTCTTTCTGACATTAACGTGTAGCACAAAACAGGAGAGGAACGAGTAGAGCTTGTTACAAGAATGTTGGCTTCATTCCACTTCCACAGTATCATAGTAAACCATGCACACCTGTACCAGCCAGGGCCCTGAACTGACACGCCTCAATGGAAAGGAGCCATTAATCCTATGATTGGGTACACGTTTTGTAGATTGATTCTAAAATGCTCAGGGGTCCGTTTCACAAAGCAGGTTCAACAAACTCTGAGTCTAATTCTGAACTCTGAGTTGATCTACTCTGAGATAGGAAACTCTGAGTTTCCGGTTCCAGAACAGCTGATTTGAATCAGTTTAATCAACTCAGAGTAGTTTCACCTGGAATTAAGCGCGTGCACCACAACTATAAAAAGCCAGCATCAATGGAGCCCCGATTCGACGAGTCACCATGGCAACGGCGAAGAGGAGGGCGTTTTTCACCCCACTAGAATTAGAAATCTTAATGCGCTCATACAGCGAGTTTGAACACGTTTTCAAAAAGAAGTGCAACACCGCTGCAGCTGCAAAAGAGAGGGAGACGGCGTGGGAGAATGCATAAGTTTAAATGTAGTCCTTTGCAATCACAATAATATTACAGGGGAAAACTGCTTGAATGGTAGCCTATTAATTTATTTCATTTAGGTGCAATCCCGCGGGGGAGAAGCGCACTTGGCAGCAGTTTAGGATGAAATATATAAACATTGTTCAAACAGGTAAGACCTCGGCATAATCTCATGGGG